GTCCTGTTTATGTCTAGCAGACAATCCACAAAAAACAATGTTTCTGTAGGTTTCACAAGTGTCTGTGTTTTATCTCATTTACATTGAAGTAGGGCTGGGCGATAGTCAAAAATCTTATCCCCATAAAAAGGTTCATATCATTCGATATCAATAATTATCACGATAAATGTCAAATCATTAAGTTTTCAAACTTTATGGTCAGAACATGACAAACACCTGCCAACAGTGGATCACTTATCAAATCTGATGTGAAACATTCAAAACAATTATGATAAAAACTAATTTTCAACAAATATGCATGAGTAAAGTTAAGTCTTTTTATCAGTCCCTGTTCCTCAACAAAATACAAATCTTAATAGAAAAATGAAGTGCTAATTCATTCATGATTCAAATGAATTAAATCAAAACATTTATTGAACATTTATTATATTGTTATAGAGGAAAATTACTGTTTTATTGCCCAGCCCTACATTCAAGTTAATCAGAGGGAAAAAAAACAAAACTCTTACGTTGTCCAAAAGATGTCAGAGATAAAGACATCCTGAGGACAGGTGTGATCTGGTACTTAAAAAGGGCTTTATTCTACAGTATTATGACTCAGTGGTTGTCGTCATAGGTGTGGCTCTGCCCTGATAAGTTCAGCCAGCCAGCCAGCCAGCCACACAGTATACCCCGAGTGGAGCTATCAAGCTTAATCTTAAATTATTTAAAGAGAGCATTGATTTTCTGTTTTTGACTAATTTTAGCCATCTGTAGATTTGGAAATACCTGATTTGAGACCTAAGACCATTTTAATCCTGCAGTTACGTTATGGTCTAATTTAAGAACCAAAATAAAGACGCAAAGCTGTGAAAACCTGCTATTTTCAATTGACAATAGTTGTTTGTCTCATGTAGACAGCAGCGTTTAGAGTTCACACCTTTAATTACATTTTTTACATCTCAATTTGAGTCATCTTCAGTGTGATCTGATTTCAGTGAAAGATTTATGTTGACGTCTTCATCTGCCAGGTGCAAGCAGAAGATCAGAGAGAGAGAGAGAAACATACAGACAGATAGGAGACAAGGGAGGCTGTAGAGAAATAATAATAGGCAGACAGATGAGCAGGGGCAGCCTAAGAAGAGACAGACAGGTTTGTGAGGACAGAGAGGCAGACAGGTGTGTAAGCTGAGAGCTGCAGGGGGTGCAGCGCTGGAGTCCAGCAGGGGATCTGATATCTGAGACCATGGAACAAGACGACACACAACACCGACTCTGCTGATGCTGACAGCACTGAGGAGCTCATTGCCAAAATACTTTGCATCAAAAAGAGTCTGGACACAAATATAGGAACTGTTCTTTGTACCTCAGTATCTTTTCATTTTAAAGGGACAAAATGGTTTAGAGGTAGACCGATAAATTGATATTAGTTTACTGCAGATCTCTCTCTCGTTCACGCCAAGGCTTTTGTCTCCTACTTTTAAATATTAAGTTATTTATTTAGCACCTCTAAAATAGTGTGGATACTATGCAAGCACCACATTTTGTCTATTTGTGGTTCAAATACATAACAAGTAGTAAAATTGGAACATGTTGCACTATAAAACCAATTCTTATAGAACTGCAGAATACTACATATCTACATGAGATTACCAAAGATCCACATTTAGGCCATGACAACCGAGCAAAATCTGCTGAGGAAAACCGGTGAGATGCATCTAAAAGCTTCAGAAAAACCTAGTGAGTGGAGTTTGAGTCAGATTTGTTAATATTTTTCTTTTGGTCAAAATTGTTGATCTTTTGCGTATCTTTATCTCTTTGCTGAGAGTACTCTTTAGCTGGGTTGCTATGCTTCTAGAATTTTAAACCTAAAGACAGTTTGTTTCGTCTGAGGAGTCCATTGTCTTTAGGTATTTCATATATCGATGTACAGACACGTATGTCATAATGAGTAGATTTAGAATTAAGTGCCCTTCTTCCATAGATTCTTGCTGGAGGACCGATTGTTGCCGCTGAGGTTACTGACACATCAGTAGGCTGAACGGAGATGATGTGCACACTAGATCACCTTTATCATCTAGACTAAAACTAAAATACTCCCAAACAGGTGTCCCCACCACTCGCAGTCGCCATCAAGTAGCTCCTTTCTCTGTGCGTAGCATACACTGTATAAAAGAAGTGGCCATAGTCACCGTGATGTCACCCACTGGTTTGCGGACTACCCTTTTGAAGTGTCAAGCTTGGCATCTTGGCCGTCTCCAACTAGCTTATTTGGAATCGAAAAGCCCATAATACGACTATATTTGGAAAGGAGGGTGAAGTTAGGGAGGGATACGCATTGTATAGGTCATCATGGTAGCAACTACTGATTCACAAGGTTTATTGTCTATTATACATGGGACCAAAATTTACTTAAGTTAAGTTAACATCATGCTGTATTGAAGAAGACTTAAAACTAGAGAATGACCACATAAACGCATTAGGAAAGTATTTACTGAGGTAATAAATCAAGTGAGAAGTAGGCTCATTTTGTCATAAACTTGCATACAATCAGACTTCTTTTTGCAACCAGTGGATTTGTCCCCTGCTGGCAATTAGAAAGAATGCCAGTGAATAAAGGCTGCAGCTAAACCTCCTGTTGTTGCATTGAAGATGATGGTCAGGCAGTTTCACGTGGCGTCGCCTGCCTACATTGAGGACGTAATACATCAGCTCAATAAAGCATCTCCGTATCAGTTTAATAGACAGAGAAGCATCTGTATTGTTCAGGCATGTGATTGGCAAAGGGCAAAAAAGCAGGAAAATATAACAACCCCCCATAGACCATTTTTAATGAAGAGACAGCAGCAAAGGTGGTCGCCCGTTTAAGATCTGGTGGCCTAACTGTTAAAGAAACAGTTGTATTCAGGGAACTCAAACAGCCAGATCAGTCTCTGTCTATTGATAAATTGTAGTAAAAAGTCTGACATTTCAACTCTAGCAGCGTGCGTGAGACGAGAACAACCGTGTCTCACGGGATAGCGCCAGTTATACAGAAGTTGTTGCCATAGTTACCTCGTGGAGCGCTTGTTTGATTTGACTAGTTACTCAGTATATACTTAAAAAGTAATAGTAGCTACTCTACTTATTACTGGGTGATATAACACCACTCTCTCCCGACGAGTCCAAGCATCACTGGCAGCAGCAGCCGGAGTTTCTTTCTGAGTTTCACGCTGCTGTGCTGCTTTAGCTGATGCTTTAATTAAGTAACGTTATAGATGTAGAATTGTTCGCGGTTAAAAGCTTTTTGCTGGTCACACGCTGCGTTACTTGGAATAGTAACTGTAATAGTACAACTGTTTAGGAAATAGCAATCCGTTACATTACTCTTTACTGGGAAAAGTAATATTACAGTATTACTGCCCAACACCTTGATACGCGAGAGCGACTGTGGTAGGCAATACACTGCACAGACCTGTGTGGAATTGGCAGTTGAACGCAAACAAACATCGTTGTTGATACTTAGAAAGGAAAACTTTACACACGTCAGCCTGTAGATGTCTTTAAATGCTTTCCATTTCACTCGGCCAGCTCTTGTATCCCCCTCCTTTCCCCCCCCCAATTACAGATCTGCATGATTCACCTGGGTCAGATTTTCAGGTCAAAAAATCCGGAAAAATCACATCCCTGATTGTTGACCGTATTGAAATCATACCATCGGGATTTCAAAAGACCCTGGTAGGGTTCGTCAATAACGGTGGCCTGATGGCTCGGGGCCAGTAAAAAGTAACGTCGGGACAGTTGAACAAGCAACCCACTGTTCAAAAACATTAGTATTTCAAAAAAAATAAAATAGAAACTCAACATCCTGCAGTTGCTTTGCAGCTCTTAGTTGGCGCTCACCATTGTCCAATCCAGATTTGTAGTTACGCGACAAGTGGTTGTCAAATATTATTTCGCTAATCTCAATCAAGCAGCAACCTCTGGGTCTGAAAGTGAAACCATGCAGACGGAACTTAAAACTGTATTCTCTCTAACGGCCAGCAGGGGGCGAGTCCGCTGGTTCCATCAGAAATCATGGTAAAATGTTGCTACTTCTCAGTTGAATTATTACCTCAGTAAACACTTTCATAATGAATTTATGGTCTCTGTCGCTAGTTTCAAGTATTCTTCAACACAACATGATGTTAATTGAGTAAATTATGGTCCTATTTAGGGGGAAATAGACAATAATGCAGCATATGCTTTTGGGCGGGACTACCTTGCTACCATGGTGACCTGTCAGTCCGGATAGAGGCGACTTGTATCCGCTCCTCTGTGTACATTGTTTTTATTAAATGGCTGTCAGCAGGAGAGAGAGCCCGTCATGTTTGATTCTGTTAGTATGGTTTTAAAAGTAAACTGTTTTGTTAACCTTTTTATTTTTTATAATTTTAACTGTGATTACATTTTAGTTTAGTTTTTTTTATATCCAGGATGTATTTAATAACCAATAAAACATGTTAACAGTATAATATAACTTATAAGTCTTTTGGAAGGAGGGCCAGTAAAAATCGTCTTCGGGCCAGTAAGTTTCAAACAGACTGGCCCAGTGGGGCCAGTTGCAAAAAAGTTTAAGGTGGAGCCCTGCCTGGTATACCGTAATACCATGATACTGCCCAAGCCTAGTGTGAACACATGCAAATCCAACTATGCTCAGCAACATCCACAGGCTGATGAAGGCCTTTATGATTTTTCAGCAGGGACATACTGCTTATTAAATTAAGTAAGCATCATCCAATGTGAAGCGAGGCTCTCTGGAATAACACGTTAATTCCCAAAGCCTACAGTAGATGCAATGCTAAGTTAAAATATTTAAGAGTAAATGTAGCAGTATAATTCAGGGTCATGTTATCCTTATGAATATTTTAGTGAAAATATACAGCAAAAAGGGGGGGCAACCAGCACATGCATTTTTATTAATATCATTTTTTTTTGTCTTATTTTGTGACATGCAAAACATAAGCCAGGCGTGCAAATGCAACAAATGTACAGCGTCTTACCTTTTTCTGGTACCACACCACAGCATCTTTTACTTTGGAAGCCATTTACATTTCCCTTCTCCTGGCCTAGGGCATCTTAGACTGAAATCACACAGCAAGAGAGAGAGGCAGTGTGAGTGACAGAGTAATGAGGAAAGAGAGAGGACGAGTGAAGTCTATATACCTGGTAGGGAGGTGTGTCCTGATAAGTGACGAAGGAGAGGAGAGGAAGACTGTACACACACACTGGATTGAAGGCATTCATTTTCTTCCCAAGAAAAACACAAACACACATTTATATATTTTCTTCTGACACTGCTGCACTCGAATCTCTTTCAGACATACACGTACGTAAGTAATAAAGACAGTCACTTTTACATGTTGTTTCCCTTGACTCCCATCTTACAGCATAAACAAACAGTCTTTCTATAAGCCGGGCTGGGACAATTCTCGCTGGATGAATCATATTCTGACACACGCAGAGGCACATTAAGACACACATGCATGAATTTTCAAAAACTGGTTAATGGCTGTTCCCTTGCAATGTTTGGGCGTGTGAGTGATTGGCCTAGAAAACAGGTCCATAAACACACATACAATTAAAATTGACAACCTTGCATTGAACCACCTGAACCACACCCACATGAGTGCTAATTAGTAGCTATTTAAAGAAAGAAAAAGAAGACATTGATTCAAAAGCAGAGTGAAAATGGAAAAATGGGAGGAAATTTGTCTCACGAATCACAAATGTGTTAGGGTTGGGCAATGTCTACAAAATTTCTTATGTGCATGTGTTCACTCGCACAGACTTCACTTTGTAAAAAAACTTGGTAGCCTATAACGTTACAAGTCGCGGTGAATATTTTACAAGCACGGACCAGGTAAAGTAGCACTGAACACACAGGGTGCAGATGTTGGTTTCGGTTATTTGATAGGCTGCGTCATTAACAAGTCCACAAGTGGCTCACCTGTTGCTGTGATGACAGATCACGGGTGGAAAAATAAAAAAATTCCGGTAAAAGACAAAGTTCTGTGTCTGTGTATCTGAGCGTGGGGAGAAGAGAATTCCAAGGAATGTGCAAAGTATAATGTGAAAAATTTGCCTGCTCACACATACATACATAATCACGCAACCCTGTACGCAGGATAAGCGATTGATGATGGATGGATAGATATATATCTCACACAGACTCAATATATAGGTCATTTTATTACAATGATTCCTGACCACCACCAGATAAACCCTTTGTTGCATTATTATCATTTGGTTATCAATATCTGGGTCACTGATGGGAAATGCACATGACAGAGAGCTTGCTTTCATTTGTGACTATATGCAGTGTGTCAGTCAGTGTGTTATTACTGTAAGTTGTCTTTGAAACAGGATCTGCTGGTGATGTGAGCTTGTTTGTTGTGGTTAAAGAAAGGAGCAGAGGTTTACTGGATCCACTTCAACAAACCGGAGCGATTAGTTCCAAGTTATTTGACACTGAGAAGATCAAAAAGGAGTTATTTCCTCGTTTAAAATCAGCTTAACATGGTGCATCTGAGACAAACATCATTGAATGTCTCAATACGTCTTTGAAACATAGTATTAATATGTGTTGTAACTTCTTCGAACCAGACTGTTTTTCTGAGACATTAAAAAGCAGAAACCTCTTTCGGTCAGGTGGAGGAAGACAAGGAGAAGATGTGGTAAATAAGAAGGTGTAAAGTGGAAAACCTGGAGGCCTCTGCGGTTAGCCACTCTTTTTCCCTCTTCTCTCTTGGTCGCTGCCTCTCTTGCTTCCTCCTCTCTGTCTGTCAGCCTCTCTTTTGTGACTCTTTTCTGTTTCTGTTACATAAGAGCAGCGTTGTCCTGCTGTGTGAGTGGGAGGGATGGAGGAACAGATAGATGGAGAGTGATGGAGGGCAGCGGCTGCAGGCCAGGCCGATTCGGGGGGCAGAAATAGCTTTGTTTTTTCTCTTTGGCTTCGTCGGTTATCAGGAATTATTACTCAATACCTGATGAAATATTGCAAAAATACAAATTTCTTTCTGTTTTGTTTTGAGGGTGAGTATTCATGATTCATTCATGCATTCAAGTTTCCCGTTTTACCTTAGCGTTTCGACATTTTTCCTCTTTGCTATGTCAAATCAAAAGTTCACATTTGAGTGGAAAGCTTGAGAGTAAAGCCAGAGAAGAGTGAAGACATCCTGCTTTGCATGTGAAGGCTTGTTTGTGCTGCCAGCCTCAGTCTGCACAGTAGTCCATCGCTGACGTTGGCATTTGCAGTGTCATCCTTTTCCAATGAAGTATCTTGGAAACATTTTATGCGCTTAGACTTGCTGATAGTTTTGAGACACATTTCAAAAGAAATGAATCCATTTTGTGGCCAACAGCAGTCTGTGGCAAAGTTTACATTGAAAGAAACATGTGCAAGATCATACTATAGTGCTATTTGACAGCTTCGCAGCTTATCTGACAACAAAACCACAACACTTGTTTATCTGTGCAATAAAGTCACCACCTCAAAGAAACAGAGGAGTATTTGTGAGAAAACGCGTCATAGCGTTCATGTTCAAAGCCACAGTGGAGTGAGTCCAAGCTCAGTGTATCAAGAAGCTCAAAAAAGCAGGTAGGGCAGAAAATGTTTGTACAAGCACAGAAGTCTGCTAGTAGTGTTAACTCAACACACACGGCAAACCACAAGCTGGCTAATGCACAAGACTGCAAAATACTCCGTTCCTATACCTGTCAATTTGGCATGCATACTTCGCATAAAAGACATTCTGCACATAGTGTTGCAGAGGTGTGGGTGTATATGCATTTTTGTGTGCGCACGCACGCCCCCCCCCCCCCACACACACACGGCAAGAGACATTTTTAGCAACAGGAAGAAAGTATCTTGCTCGTCAGTTGTCTACAATTACATTCATCACTGCTTCCTCCTTCCGTCTTTCACGGCTGAGCTACACTATTCCTGACATAAAATCCATCCACTAGCTTTTTGCTATTGCACATGCATGCAAATAAAGCATATCTGAACTGAAACATGGCACACAGAAAGAAGGAGACTGACAGAGATAGTGTGGACGATGCTGGTTTGTCCTTTTTATGTGAAGTGGTTACACAAGTAAATGGGCCAACAGTGTCAATAGAGAGTCAGTGAAAGAAAGACTAATTGACAGACCAAGCTTGCACTCCAAAAGCCTCCACAAATGTAATCTACTGCAACTAGTCCTTTGTTCTGGTGCTGCATTATGTTTCAGATCTCACTCAAGACATGACGATTTATTTATTACTGCCTTCAAAAATGGCAGGAATGTGCATGTTTCCACAAAAGAAATCCAGGAAAAGGGTGTTTGAGTGGTTAAAAAAAAAGAAAAAAAGAACCACCTCATGTTTTGATCATTTTGGTCAAAGCCTTTTTCAGAGCATGATGAGTTGCTTGTTTTTAACACTTTCAATTTACAATATAAAACAGAGAAAAGCAGCAAATTCTCTAGTTTGGGGAGCTGGAACCAGAGAAAGGTTGGATTTTTTACTTGATAAATGCCATCAGTGATTAATTCTCTGCTGATCATCATTAATATTAAATTGACTAATGCTTTTAAAACTTTAGATGGATATCTTTATATGAAGATGAGCAAACAAATAGAGGATCAGGTGCACAAAAACTATTGTTACACATTTCACTCGTGAGATTTCTGCTATTTGGTGTTACATAATATAAAATGTTTTGAGATCAGATCAAGCTGAGTTATAAAAATGGCTTTGTTTCCAATTACTGACAGCAGCAACCAACAACAGCTGCTGTCAACAAATGACAAACTGTTTTGCTGCTTGTGCAACCGCAAAGCAATGGTAAGCCTGAGTGAACCAGAGAGAATAAAAACAAACAGACATTTATATACAGACAGACAAACCTATGGGACCGACACCCCTTCATTAGAGAAGTTGGACGACAAACAGCAGTGTTTTCTGTTTTTAATTCTCTCTGACAGCTTTAGGGCTTCAAATCCTCCCGGTCCAGAGGCAGTGATAAGAAAAACAGACAGATCCTCCCTGTTCAAAGCCTCAAAATCCCTCCATCACACCTCAGAGTGATGCCAACACTGATTCACACACACATTATCAGACAAAAACACACACAGACACATACTGTTGCCTAATACGGCTCCGTACACTGGATTAGCTGTAAACTGTTGGGTTATTATTTATGCTGGAAAACATAAGAAAACAGGCTGAGAGTTATTTCCTAACGTCCTTTTTCCAAAACCACACACTCGCAGTGTTCCCAAAATACACTGTGGTTTGCTACAGGGTATTTAGGGAACCGAGTCTAGACAACACACACACACACACACACACACACACGTATGCTCTGGTCACAGGAATCACAGACATTGAAAAGAAAACAGCTAAGGCAGTGTTTTCCTGGGAACCTCCTAGATTTGAGACTACATTTTTACCCACTGGCATATATTTTAAAATGTAATGTGCGTGTAACCGTAATGATTTTTAATTCATTTTTCTACAGTTTATTTTCATACCAGTAAATGTGATAACAGCACACTCGTGTCAACAAGTTTCATTCATTCACAAACACACCCGATTACAAAGCTCTCAAAGAATTCAATGACTTCAATAACAACCACACACACACACACACCCCATAATACACACAAACACACACACGGGTTGCCAAGTCTGTCTGACCAGTGGTCTCTCTGAACTGACCCATTTACAGAAAGAGAGAGAGAGAGCGGTCAAGTCAGACAGTGGGTATTATGTAGGTCACAGTTTAGATGAGGGCTCTTTTTGTGCCAGTGTGTGTTCGTACACATGTGCGTGTGTCTTTGTGAGCAGGAAATGGTTGAGTGTAATTAGCCATATGTCTCCTGCAGCTACTGTATGAATGTTAATGTGCGTCAGGGACAGAAGGAGGTTGAGTTTTAAACTTGATCTTCATGCTGCCTTCGGGGGAGGGATGGTAAAGAGATAGAGACAGATACTTAGTTGGTTAAACAACACAGTTTCATCTAAGTTTTATCAGTGAGGTTAAGACCTAAATAATGTAAAAAAAAGATTATTACTACTTATTATAGAAACTGTACATTGTTGTTCCCTTGTGCAGCTGCGCTCCCTCACACTTCCTATGTTTACATAAATTAATCAAAACATGACAGTAGACTATTTTATTTAAACACCCATACAAGAACTTTGCTTATTTAGATATTTCACATTTCAACCCTTTTTGCTAAATTAAACAGAAGAAGATGTCA